TTCACTTATCTGGGGAAAGGAGAGGGCAGTCAAGGCTCTATAAACTGCTAAAACTTAAATTCTAAAAATATATTTAATTGTAAATAAGGTATCTCTAGATGGGTAAGTAAAAAAATATTACTACAAAAATCAGATACTAGCACTAAGTAAAAAAAAAAAAATTAAAATTAACTTCTCGACATATCCTCCATCTTGGTCTATGCACCTATGAAGGCAAATGATGACTTATGCTGCCTACTTGGAAGAATGTCAATTAAACACTTAAGGTTTAATGTATATGACTATATAAGTGAAGGAGCTCTGGTAGCGTAATGGTTACGAATCGGGCTGCGAGCCTTAAGGTCAGCAGTTCGAAACTACCAGCCGCTCTGAGGGAGAAAGATGAGGCTTTCTACTCCCGTAAAGATTTACACCCTTGGAAACCCTGTACAGGGTCACTATGGGTCGGAACCGACTCACCGACTCGACGGCACTTAACAACAACAACAACATATAAGTGACAGAGGGGTTGCCTTATCTAGGAGAAAGGGGAAAGAGGATTTATAGTGATTGGGGGCATGGGATAGAGAGAGGTATGAGGAATTTCAGGAATGTATTGTTCTGCTTATCTCAGGTTGTACTGATCCCTCCCAGGAATCTCAGGAACTTCCTTATTCCTATAAAAGCCCCTGGGGTAGGAGTTAACTAATTGCTAAACTAAAGGTCAAGGGGTTCAAATTCACCAGTTGCTCCTTGGAAACCCTATACAGGATTGCTATTGGTTAGAACCAACTGGACAACACGTAACAACAACAAACTAAAGGAAAGTATAGACCAAAGTTAGCACTAATGAGATCTCTACTTACATACGAGATGGAGTTCCTTTAGCCAGTTGTGGCTTCAACAGTGTTTCCATCTCTTCAACTCTTCCATGAAGTATTCTGCGCTCTTCTATTTACGCTGCAAAAAAAATGACACTTTTGGTATCCTCAAGGGACGACAATCGTGTTCCTTTGAAGGGGTCTTTGGGTTTGGGGAACAAAGAGAAGCGCCTGAAGAGGCAAGATTAGGACTGTAGAGTAGCGGGAACAAGGTTTTCCAATGCAATTCTCCTAGGACCATCCTAGGAGATATACCAAGGTACTCTCAAAGAATGAGCAGGCACATTGCTGTGCTGCATAAAAATTCCTTGGTGAAATTTTCCTGACCTTTTTTTTTTTTTTTTTATCATCAATGCAGTTTTAAGTTTTCTTAAAACTTCTTTCTAAGAAGGCTTCCCAAATCATCTTGTGTCCGTCAAGAAAATCTATCAAGATTACCCTTTGGAAATCCTAAAGCAATCACCATAACCTATTGAACTGGCATCTCTGCCTTCCATGTAAAAGCCTAGCAGATCCCCTCAGAAGCCACTGTTTTGATTGACTTTTTTTCTGTCAGCACCCTAAGAAGACTAAGACAAACATATTACTGAGAGAACTTGTATGAAGCCATCCACTGATTGTAGAGCAGAGACATGTTTACATGTTTTGCTTGGAATAAACTAGTACATGTATGAACTGGAGCCCTAGTAGCAATACTTTATTATTATTATTTATTCTGGTATAAGCAGATATAGTACTTTTCAGTATGTTGAAGTCTTGATTAAATAACTTTTTGGTCAGTTGAACTCTTGCAAATCTACTAGAAGGGAAAGTGTTAATTTAAAAGAAAACAGCCTTAAATGTTGCTTATTTTTCTAATGACTATATGTAGCTGGATTCAATTTGTAAATCTCTCTCACTTCTTTTTATTTTAAAAAATAATTTATGTGCTTTGCATTAAGGGCAGCAAGAGAGACATACGTTTATAAAACATAAGCATTTTGCTCTCAGGTAGGCTATATGACAAGATTCTGAGTAAAGGACAGGGTTTGAAAATACAACACACAACTGAGATTATCCAGTAAAAATTCCTATGAGCAGAAGCCACCTCACTTGTTGTTAAGTGCCATCGAGTCGATTCCGACCCATAGCGACCCTGTATAGGGTTCCCAAGGAGTAGCTGGTGAGCTTGAACCACCAACCTTGCAGTTCAAACGGCTTTGCAGTCTGGCGCATTAACCCACAGCACCACACCAGGACTCTCCTCTAATTCAATGACCAGCTCACCACCCATCTGTCTGCTTGTACTGTGGGGGCTTGTATATTGCTATGATGCTGGAGTTGTTCAAATATCAAATATCAACAAAGTCATCCCAGACTAAGATTAGGAAGAAACGTCTGGCAAACTACTTCTGAAAATCAGCCAGTGAAAAGCCTATGGATCACAGCAGAGTCCTACCCAATAGAGTGTTGGAAAACACAAAGTGGCACAATAGATTTAAACAGTTCAAAGGTGGTTAAGATGGGGCAAGACAAGGTCATTCTACTGGTTGGTGACCAGAGCTGAGTTAAAATGTAATAGAAATACAAGACACATCTGTGCCCACAGAGAATTTATAATCTAGTAGGGAGCAAAGATGAATATGTATCTGAGACCTCTATCCAACTTTACTGTGCAGGAAATCCCACTCCCCAGTCTGGCATGGCGCTGTAAGATCAGCATGGATTGCGAACAACACGTTCAGCAGTTCAAACCCACCAGCTGCTACTGAGAAACACTGTGAGTCAAAATTGACTGATGGCTATTAACAACACTCTTGTAAGTATGCAGATTCCTAGGCTATGCTCCCAGAGGTTGATTTAGCTGATCTTATGGAGAACCTGCAACCTTTCTTTTTAGCACCTTCTCCAGGCAATGCTGGGGTTAGTTTTTAGATTGTATTTTAAGGAGCTCTGGTAGCGTTGTTGTTGTTGTTGTTGTTGTCAGGTGCCATCGAGTCAGAACCGACTCATAGCAACCCCATGCACAGCAAAACGAAACAATGTCCGATCCTGGGCCAACCTCACTACTGCTGCCACACTTGAGTCCATAAATGATGCCACCTGGCTGATCCATCTCATTGGGGGTCTTCCTCTTTTTCTCTGACCCTCCATCTTACCCAGCATGACATCCTTCTCCAGCGACTGCTCTCTCCTGACAATATGTCCAAAATATGAGAGACGGAGCTTAGCCATCCTGGCCTCCAAGGAGCACTCTGGCTGCACCTCCTCCAAAAGAGATCTATTGGTTCTTTTGGCTGTCCATGGCACTTTTAGTATTCTCCTCCAACACCACAACTCAAAGGCATCAATTCTTCTACAATCTTCCTTATTCAAGTGTATCTCAAGGTCGGCAGTTCAAAACTACCAGCTGTTCCGCAGGCGAAAGATGAGGCTTTCTGCTCCCGTAAAGATTTACAGCCTCGGAAACCCTGTGCAGGGTCACTATGAGTCGGAACAGACTCCCCGGTACTTAACAACAACAACAACATCTTAAGAAAACCAGGAAGCCTGAGGGAAAGGTTTCACATATCCAGAGTCCAGAGTAGGTGAAAAGACACTCAATGAGGACTTAACCAAGGATACCTCAAATCCTTGCAACTAGTTTCACTCCTTGGAAACCCTATACAAGGTTGCTGATTCTAACTGACTAGACCCCGCAACCTGCAGCAACAAGTCTCCTTTCAAGATGGTTCCTGTGGGAGGAGGGACTGAGAACGTCCCTCCCTTGCCCCAGGGCTGTAGGAATGCAGCCAGTCTATCCTTCTCTGTGAAGGGTCACAGTCACCAAGCCATAACCCTGGAGACAAGGACACTTCTGAAGATGGGGCAGTTCATTTGGGAGGTCATCCGAAGGCACCTGTCAGAGGCTAATGCGGGCCTACAGGCTCCTGAACCCTTAGGGATCTCTGTGGGAGAACGCTGGTGACTCCAGTGGGTGGAGCCCAAGCCTGTTTCAAAGGATTGGCTAGCTTCTCCCAGGATCGGTATCGCGCTATCCGTGTACAAACACCTCTGCATGTACCTCACTGGCATTTGTTTGTCCCACTTGCTAGAGCTTCTGCCGGAAAGGGGGAAAGGGTAAAGTGATAGTGAAGTCAACTCGCCCAGCTGGTGAGTTTTGCTGGCTGAGCGCAAAGTTGCTCTATGTAGGTTGTTGTTGTTACACGCAATCTAGATTTCCGAGTAGCGGCTTTGAACTGCCGATCTTGCGGTTAGCAGTCCAGTGTTTATTCTACAGAGCCACACCAGGACTCCCTGCGTAGGTAAAGGTGGAGATAAAATCAGTTTTGATCAGTGCGCGCAGGAGAGCAGTGGCGAGGACAGGTCTGCCAGTCCCAATCAGTCCTAAGAAGGGACAATGTTTCCAGTCTGAGGGAAGAGGCATGTCCCTGCCGCAGAAAGCCCCTAGTCTAAGAGGAAGTGGCGAAACATGATGAAAACCCTCATCAGTCTCCAAACTGAGGGTGGAAACCACTCAAGCCTGTGGGAGACACAAACCTAAACTCAGTAGTCCCTGTTCCGAGGCGAGGAGCCACATTCCCGCCAAAGTGGAGATCCCAGAACTTTTTCGTGGCACGCGCGACCAGCCCTGTAGGGAAGGATGGGCCTAGCCCTCGTCCAGTTTCCAGTTCTATCTCAGTAACACCCAGCGGCATAGCTTTTCGTCACTGCCCAGGTCGGTCGCAGGGGCACCGGGGACCGCTGCTCGGGGGCAGACCCGGGGCGTCTTTGCAGCCGGTCACCCCCTCCCCCTTCTCCGCGGGCTTTTGCACACGACGCACCGCGGGCCGCTTCACACGAGGTGGCAGAGCCGGATAAAGCGCGGCGGCGCGGGGCGCAGCCTCCCGGGCACAGAGCAGAGCGAGGCGCCACAGCGGGGCCGGCAGCAGGGTGACAGGGGCGACCAAGGTCCGGACGGGCGCGCAGCAGAGCCGGTGGCACGAAGCACACGAGCCAGGGCGGCGGCAACTGGCGTGCGGGGACCTCCCGACGGGTGGGCGTCTGGCTTTCCCGGCAGGTGGGAGCACGCGCTGCTGAGCGTCCCTAGTGCAACTTCCAGGCGCACTTGGTGGGGTGGCAGGCGCAAGACTAGCGGGAGCCAACGCGGGACCAGGCTGCATGGAGGCCACGGAGAAGCTGCGTCTGTTGAACGCCAGACTCGGAGTCCGGTAAGGCGGGAGCCTGGAGAGGGAAGTGAGTTTGCGCGGCATCAGACGCACTATCCTGGCAGTGGACGGTTTGGGGTGGCGTCTTGAACTAGGACCACTGAGGATGGGACAGAGCAGTGACCCAGAGGATCATCCCTTCCTTGGGCTCCAGCGCATACCCTAACCGGTCCACAGGGGGAGAGGGAAGGAGTCATCTGCCCGGAGTCCCGCCTCTGACCCAGCACTTTGCCCCTTGGCCGCTCCGCCCTAGGGAGGCCCTGTGCCCCCCAAGTGCGAGGTAGAGGGAGGGGGAAAGGAAGAGAAGATATGCGATTCTCCCAAAGTCTGAGCTGGGTTCCTTCTCCGTCTCCTCTGAAGCAGCCACGCCTCTTGGCCAGTTTCCTCCTGGCCTTGGAAGGGGAGGGGGAGGAGAGAACAGCCAAGGCCCCAAAACCTCAAGGCTGGTCATTCCTGTAGCCCCTCCTCTACCCTATAGGATCTATCCATCTAATCTTCTCGCCTTCTCATTCCTTAGCGACTGTCAGAGGTTAGGGTGCCCTGAACCATCCGCCCCATGTGTCCAATGACCCCACGTCAAGTCAACCCTCCTTGCCCATCTCAGAGCTGACTCTCCCCTTTCCCTTCCTCTCTGCCCAGGTCATACACAGGATCTGTATGGCAGGATGGGGCTGGTTGGCACCCTCTGCCCACACCTGGCCTGGACTTGCAAGCCATTGAGCTTGCTGCCCAGAGCAACCACTACTGCCATGCCCAGAGGGATACTGGTAACCACTCTGACCCCAAGAAGGATCGAGCCCGCCGCCAGCTGTATGTGGCATCTGCCATCTGCCTGGTGTTCATGATCGGAGAAGTCATTGGTAAGAACTGTGCTGATTGGCTGAAGTTGGGACAACTGTCTAGGTTTTTCCAGCAGCATAAATTTAATAGCCCCATTTATTAGACACTCACTGTGCTAGGCCCCTGTCTTCACAATCTCAGGCTGTCACAAAGTTGCTATTTCCCATTTTTTAGAGAAGAGGAAACTGAGGCATGTTACTTGACCAACATCACACATAGCTAGTAGGCGAGAGTCAGAATGTCTAGAAAAAGAGAGCACTTACTAGGTATCTCCTATGCTTTTCACCCTCTAACCAAAACCCACTGCCCTGGAATCAATTCTGACTCATAATGAATGACCCTGTGGGACAAAGGGGAACTGCTTCCCAGGGTTTCTGAGGCTGCAGATTTTTTGCAGGAGAAGACAGTCTCATCTTTCTTCCAAGGATCCACTGGTGGGTTTGAACTGCTGACCTGCAGTTAGCAGCCTGACTGATATACAGTATGCCACCAGGGCTCCTTTTCATCCTCTAAGTAGATGTTGTGATGTTATTGTCCACATTTTGTGGATGTGGAACCTGAGGCTTACAGAGTAAATCACTTGCTTCTAATGAGTAGAGAATTCTCAAACCCAGTATGTCCCTACAGAGCTGAGGGGGTTGGCTCATTGGGAAGCTGAAGAGGACCTTCTACCCACATGACCCTTCCCCTGTAGGTGGTTACTTGGCACACAGCTTGGCAATCATGACTGACGCAGCCCATCTGCTCACGGATTTTGCCAGCATGCTCATCAGCCTCTTCTCCCTCTGGATGTCCTCCCGGCCAGCCACCAAGACCATGAACTTTGGTTGGCAGCGAGCTGGTGAGAGCCCTGGAGCTGGATTTGAGGGAGGGCGGCAGGTCAAGACATGGGTTCTCAGGTGGTTGCAATTGGTTGAGCTCTGAGTGAGGCCTGGAGGGGTTTGGGTGGAGGAAGAGGATGTCAACCCTGGTTTCTGTCCTCCGGGAACTCCCATTCTGTAGGGAAGTAATGTGAAGGTCATACTTTAAGAACACATAACTATGGCATTGACTCTGCACCCAACTCCCATGGATCAGCAAAGTCTTCTGGAAGATACAGTCTATTAATTCACCTGTAGGCTGCGCTGTCATGTCCTCTTGGTGGGAGATGGTTCAGCTTCTCCTCAGAAACCTCACTTTGCCAGCTGAGCTATGGGTGTATATTTTAACAAGTCCTTTTTAAAAGCATGTCAAAAAATAGATTGACTCAAATGACTTAAGTGGCTTGTAGCTCTGACATCCTCAGACACAGGAGTGATAAAGTAGAACTGGGTCAGCTGTACTCTCCGCAAAGCCCAGCTGTACTCTCCGCAAAGCCTACAGGCCCTGACTTTGTAGTCTGGGGTGAGGGTAGCCATGGAAGGAGAGGGTAGTTCCTCAGCTCTAGGGCCACATGCTGAAGCTGGTATTGGGGGTCTGGTTCTTCCTCAGAGATCTTGGGAGCCCTGTTATCAGTGCTGTCCATCTGGGTCGTGACCGGGGTGCTGGTGTACTTGGCGGTGGAGCGGCTAGTCTCTGGAAACTATGAGATTGAGGGGTCGGCCATGCTGATCACATCGGGCTGTGCTGTGGCTGTGAACATCATGTGAGTGTGACCCATGTTTCCCCACTATTCACACATATCCCCATGTGCCCCTTCTTGGTGGAGGGAGGCCAGGCCATAGTCCAGCAGAGGCCACAGTCTGAGCTCTAGTACCTTGAACACCTGGGTCTTGTTTTAGACCAAGGCCATCTGAAGCTGCAACTCCTCCCTTCCCCCAGACATGCAGTGAATAACCTTGGAGGCTTCATTACCTGAAGAGGGAAGAGGGAGTCTAGTTCCTGCAGGAACAGGTGTCCCTGGGCCCAAAATGAAGTCCCAAGTCCTTTCAAGTTCCTGACACTTGTCCCCATGAGCGGCAGTGATGTGCAGAACCCTGGTGTTTTATGGAGACTCTGTCTCTCTTGCTTAGTGGCCTTGGACAAGTGACTTGCCCATTCTAGATCTCAGTTTCCCCATTTGTGACATATGGGGGTGGTGAACTAGATGACCACCATGGTGTCCTTCTACTGGGCTGGGCCAGCTGCTTGTTCACTCAGACTGGTACTGGAACCAAGCCCTTCTCTACTGTGGCACTGAACCAAGGTCATGTGGGCAGGGCCCCTCACATGGCCAAAGAGATCATGAGGTGGAGGGTCAGCCATGAGCCACTCAGCTTTGTCTCCATTTATGTAGAATGGGACTGACCCTTCATCAATCTGGCCATGGGCACAGCCACAGCCATGACCACGGGCACAGCCACGGTACCAGTGAGCAACAGGAGAACCCCAGTGTCCGAGCTGCCTTTATTCACGTGATTGGGGACTTACTGCAGAGCTTGGGCGTCCTGATAGCAGCCTATATTATATACTTCAAGGTCAGAGCTGGTGGCAGAGGGAGGTGGTTGGGGGCAGGGGATTACAGATCATCTGGGGACTCTTGTGCACAGGACCCTTACCCAATTGTAGCCCCCTCCCAGCTCTGAGCACAGAGGTGGGGAGAGAGAAGGAACTAGCATTTATCCAATGCCTACCAAGTGTTAGCACTTGGGATCTTCAGGACAACCCTACAGGGTATGTGGTGGTGTTTTCAGCAGCTCAGAGATTCAGTGTCTTGCTTCATGTTATGCAGTCGGTAAGCTGTGGAGTCAGACTCAAACTCAGGACTGTGTAGTGCCATTGCTCATTATGTAGGCATAGAGGGAAGAGCCTCAATTTCCCCATCTACAGGTGGGAACATTGAACCGAATGGTGTCTAAGATTCCTTTGAGCTTGTCCATGCCTCAGCCCGTTGGGTAGGAGGGCGGGAAGAGACCCCACACTGTGGTCTGCCTGCCTGGTTGTCAGGACATGGAATAAGGGCAGAGAGAACTAGAAACAGGGCCAGAGTGAGGCTTGTGTCCAGCCTGCAGAGAATCCCGCTCTCGCCACAGTACTGGGTGGGAAGGGAGAAGGGAAGTTGGGAGTGTTAGGTGGTGGGTTCCAGGTTTGCCTTCCCTATTTCTGTAGCCAGAGTATAAGTACGTGGACCCTATCTGCACCTTCCTCTTCTCCATCCTGGTCCTGGGGACGACGTTGACCATCCTGAGAGATGTGCTCCTGGTTTTGATGGAAGGTAACCTGGGCTTGGAGCTCCCTTTTGGACTTTGGCTCTCCAGTTCTAATCATCCTCAACTGAGGGTATATATCTTGGGAGAAACAGGCTTTCCAGCACATTGTCTGGAACCTGGCATAGGCTGGAAAACCTCTTGGGGCCCCAAGCCAATCTTGGCCCTCTGGTGTGGCAGTTCCTGGAAATGCCTCCTGGCATATCCCTTCCCTTCCCCACTTCCCCAGCTGCTAGCCCTAAGGGTACCACCTCCCCTTTTGGAATGAATTCTCCTGTCTAGTCAGGTGGCTTCTGGATGATGTCTGCGGCACCTAGCACTCAGCTTTCCTAATATACCTCCTCAGTATCCTCTGGCTTTCCTGCAGACAGAAGGAGGGGGTAAGGATTGTGCTTCCTATTGCACAGAGGGACTTCTTGTTGTTAAAGTGCTGTTGAATCATTTCTGACTCATAGTGACCCTGTAGAGGGTTTTCAAGGAGTGGCTGGTGAGTTTGAACCACCGTCCTTGGGGTTCAAACCTACTTTGCGGTCCAGTGCTTATCTTATAGCACCACACCAGGACTCCTACACAAAGGGGCAGACCTTGGAAAAAGACATTCAATCTTGGACAAGGGTACTGAATCCACTCCCAGTTCTGGCCTTTTCCACAGCATCTTAGGGACCAAACTATGTCTTAAGCGGCCATGCTGGACTTTGAAAGGCCTGGCAGTAATAGAGACTGGCCTACCCTAAGCTGCCAAATCAGTTACCTTTTCTTGTGTCCTTGGGCCAGGGTCATGGGTCTCTGTGTGGTCAGGGGCAGTTTGGAGTTGGGTATTGGTCTGGGGTCAACAGGAGAGTATGGCTACAGGTCATAGCTTTTTCTCCAAGAATCTGACTCAAGTATCCATGATGGTGATGATGTCCAGGGATTCCCAAGTTCCCTTCTTTTCTCTTCTTCCTTCCATTTGAAGACCATTTATTGATCATCTACTATAAGCCTGGTGTGGTGCTGAAGAATAAACACTGGACCACAAGGTTGGTTTGAACCCCAAGGATGGCAGTTCAAGCTCACCAGCCGCTCCTTAGAAACCCTATACAGGGTCACTATGAGTCAGAACGACTTGACGACACTTAACAAGTATAGGCCAGGCATTGTTCTAGACAGTAGGGATACAATGGTAAACAAAACAAACTGCCCTGCTTTCATGGAGTTTCCAGATTAAAAGAAGAGACAGACAATATAACAAATTCACAAATAGGATCACTGCAGGCAGTGTTAAGTTTGAAGAGGAAAATAACAAAGAAGGAGAATTTGGGAGGTAGAGGCATCAGTTCAGAAGGTGACAGATTGGAACCAGGAGCCAGTCCTGCACAGATGGAAGGCTTGTGTGTGTGTTGGGGGCAGTCTCCTTCTTAATCCCTGTTCTCCTCAGGAACCCCCAAGGGTGTGGACTTCACAGCTGTGCGAGATCTGCTGCTGTCGGTGGAGGGTGTGGAAGCTTTGCACAGCCTGCATATCTGGGCGCTGACCGTAACCCAGCCAGTGCTCTCTGTCCACATTGCCATTGGTGAGTGGCGGGGGCCACCTGGGGCCGGGGTGAAAACTAGGGCCTTCCCTGATTTGTCCTAGTTGGCAGTGCCCTCGAACCGAATCACACCACACTGAGCATTTACATTGTTTCATTGGATTATCAGAATCCCATTTGTAGCTGAAGAAACCGTGGGGTTTGTGTGGGAATGTCACCTGTCCTGGCTTTTACAGCTGATAAGTGGCAGAAGTCCAGCTTCAAGGCCAGGGCTTTTCTGGCCAGGTCTGGGGACTGGGGGTTTCCTGAAATGGGAGTGGAATCTTGGGGTTTTGGGGGGGATCCACGGCCCCCTTTCCTTTTCTGCTGGGGCTGGGACGCCTGATTTCTCCTGAGGGACTAAGGGTGAGTAAACATTTCTCTGGTGCCTCCCTTGGCCCCCAGCTCAGAACTCAGATGCCCAGGCCGTGCTGAAGGCAGCCAGTGCCCGGCTCCAGGGGAAATTCCACTTCCACACCATGACCATTCAGATTGAGGACTACTCTGAGGACATGAAGGACTGCCAGGAGTGCCAAGGTCCCTCGGACTGATCACATGGCCAGCCACCAGCTGGGGGACAGACAGGACCTGCAAGTGGCAGGGCTGAGTTTCCCCCAGCTCCAGCCAGGACTCTGCCAACCAGCCTACTTTGTAAACGAGGTCTCCTCCTGACTTCTGCTCCACGTTCAGTGTCAGTAAACTTGCCCCTCCCCCAGGGATGGGGCTCTCCCCGTCTCCCCATGTGACTACAGCCAGCCTTGGGGTGGGGACTCAGCAGGTGTACACCAGTGTGCCCTCCAGCTCCTCATCTATACCTGGTAGGGTGGGGTCTTAACCCCAGCATCAGGCAAAGCAGTGGTGTCAAAGTGGTGAGTGGAAGGGGAGACTGGCCTCAACACCCCCTCTGGGCCTACCTCACCTCCTATTTCAGCCTGCCTGGCCTCTGCCTTGTGAATCTGTAAAGAATTCCAGGAACAGTCCCCTCCTTGTGCCTGTAACAATACGTTGAAGGAAGCCTTGGGGGTTGGGGTTGGGGAGCCAGGAACATCTGAGACCTGTCTATACTGTAGTTACTGCAGTTGTGAGCCAAAGGTTTCCCTTTCCTGGAGGAGCCAGGCATCTTACTAGGTAAGGCACTGGCCAGATTTCCTCCTTCCTTATTTCCCTGGCTCTGGAAGCTGAGCCAACACCAGATACCCTTGTCACATGTGGTTGCAGAGGGAGGGGAGAGGACAGGGATTTCAGTGTGGGCCTGACTCTCACAGCCTTGCAGCCCCTGGGCTAGTTCTCTTGCCCCTGATGATGTGGCAGGGATCCGGAGCCTGAATCAGACCTGCTGCAGTAGCTCTGGTCCTCAGTGTGGTCTGACCTGGTCAGGGGTAACCAGGAGAGGTTATGTAGGTGTTGTGTGTGAAGATTCCTGAATTCAAAGGTGATTTGTGATCTGGTAAGGAGCCCTGGTGGCGCTGTAGGGTAAGCATTGGACTGCTAGTCACAAGGTCTCTACAGGAGAAGGATGAAGTCTTTCTGCTCCTGTAAATATTTATAGCCTCAGAAACCCTATATCCAGTTGCTATGAGTTGGAATTGGCTTGATCGATGGCATTGGGTTTGCTTTCGTTTTGATTTTATGCCCTGGTGGTACTGTGGGTTAAGCATTGGGCTGCTAACCACAAGATCAGCGGTTCAAAACTACCAGCTGCCAACAGCTCCTCAGGAAAGATGAGGCTGTCTGCTCCCATAAAGATTTATAGTCCCCCAAACCCTAATGAACAGTTCTAGTCTGTTTCATAGGGTCACTATGAATCGGAATGGACTCAGTGGCAGTGGGTAGTGAGTAGATGTGCCTATAAGATGCCAAGAGGGGAGATTTGTTCCCAGCTTTCTTGAGACAAGAGCCTAGTCATTGTGTAGGTCCAAATATAATTGTCTTTCTGCCCTTATAGCAAATCTCTGGGTATTACAGATAGTTAATATACTTAGCTGCTAATTGAAAGTTGGAGTCTTGAGTCCATTCAGAGGTACCTTGGAAGAAAGGCCTGGTGATCTACTTCTGAAAAACCAGTCATTGAAAACCCCATGGAACACAGTTCTACTCTGGTACATATGGGCATCATGAGTCAGGATGGCTGATGGGAACTGGTTTGGGTTCTTAGGCAAGCTGACTGGACTTTTTATGACTATTATTCTTGTATGTACATGAGAAGCTAACACCTACTTCACAGGGATGTGGTGAGGGCTAGAAGTACCTGGGGGTTGAAGAGTAGTGGTTACTTTTATCACCATTCTGAAAGGAATGAACTTTGGGGCTCTTGGCCAGGTGGGCTTCCCAGCCTCTCCACAGGCAGCACCTGAGTTCATCCTGACTCACTTTCTCCTCTGGGCCTCTCTTCCACCTTTAAAATGACCTTGTACCTTTCTAGCACTATCATCAGGGGCTGCCTGAGATACAGGTCAGTGGGTTTGTCAGCCTTGGAACCTGGAGCCTGGACAGAACCTAACTTCATTAAAACAACGCTGATCCGATCCTAGAGAGGGTAATCTATCCCTAAACTAACATATTTTAATTATAAATAATCTATGAACCTGCGTGCCAAGTCTGTTACCCACCTCAAGAGACAATTATTTCTGTGTCCACCCCCTTTTATTAAAAAAACCAACAACTTTATCATGAATTGAGTGAAGGTTTACAGAGCAGATCATCAGTTTTACATTCAACATATCATAGACTTTGTTTCATCTCAATAATTGCAATCCCTTCCATGTCACATCACTTATCCCACTTCCTCCCTGTAATTCTGGTTTCCAATTCTGAACCCTTCTGAAGTGTGTCATTAGGAAATGCTGCCCTTTGGATCTCAAATAGCTCACCATTCTATGATGTCCATACTTCATTAGTGGTGTCTCCTTTATATACCTATCTACTGTTTGGCTGAAAATTGAGCCATGAACTTCCGTTCCAGAGCTAAAGGGTGACCACGGGTCATAGTCTAGGGGTTCCATGAGTCTCTTTCTGACCAGTTAGTCTGTTTTGTTTTGTTTTTTAATTTTGAGTTTTATCCTACATTTTCTCCCACTCTATCCAGGACCTTCTAACGTGGCCATACAGATTCCGTTTTTGCAGACAAGAAAATGAGGCTCAGACTATGTTGCTTGCCTGAGGTCCAACAGTGAGGCAGGTCTAGATATCTGGCTCATTCCTCTAGGTTTCCCTGTGGCAGGACTGGGGGCCTCTGGGTCTGGCAGTTCAGAGGCCTAGGTGCCCCAGCTGCAATTGGGAAGAGGAAAGGTGCCTCTGGGAGCCCTCCCTATCCTGGGAACGTTGCCCAGGCTGCAGCTGTGCTCTTCCTCACCACCCACAACTGTTCTTGACTTGGGGCCAGGTTGCCACCCCCACCCCATTTAGCTCCCTGTCTAACCCGGTCCCAAGCATCTCACAGTCCTGTGCCTCCCAAGGGAAAGACCTCTGCATCCCTAGCTGTGACTGACTCCAGGGAGGATCTGAGTCATGGGGGACGGCATGTTCTGATCTGTGAGCTAGTCACGGGAGTTTCCAAAGTAGCAAGGCCATCAAAGTAGTAAAGCACCTGACACCCTGGACCTAGTCTGGTCCCCCGCCCCCTTTCTGGAATCACCCCCACATGCACATACACACGCCAGGCGAGTCCAATTCCCTTCCCCATGCAGCTGTTGCAAGGGTATTTATAGCTTGAGCGTGAGGGGGCAAGGATAGGAGCTTTATTTCGGAAGTGCTAATTCCAGTTCCAGGTGATGCTCGGTAAGAACCCAGTATCTCCCGACTTCACCCTCAATGCCTCGGCGCTCTGGATAAGCCCTGCGTCCACCCAGCCCACCTAGAAATGGTCCCTTATTGAGTCCCAAGTAACCGGGAAAAAGTGGTGGGGGCTATTCTTTCAGATTGTTCAGACTAGGTCGCACACACCACTAACCCTTTACGTCCCCTAGCCGTCCTCTGAGTGGGAAGTGTGAAACCCGTTCACTTTCAGGAAAGAAGGTGCATGATGTGATGCTGTCCTCTAGTGGTCCACACCGGTAATGCAGGTGAACCAGGTTGGGCGGGCAACCTACGTTTTCACTCCCTTTCTCTCCCCACACTCAGCCAGATGGAAACCCTGAAACTGGCTTTCCATTGTCTTTTTGCTCCTATACTATGGTGCGAGTAGCCGGGGGGGGGGTGGCGGGAGGTGCGGAGTTTTGTCTCACGCGGCATTATATCCACACGTCCGCCACCGCTGGTACAGGGCCAGGCTCTCAGTAGGGGCCCAGTTAATGTCTCCCATCTATCTACCTTAAATATTTATAATTAAGGACATGTCCCAATCCTTCCGATGCTCAGAGATTAGTCCTGGGACATGAGCAAAAACAGTGCTGGGACTGCGGGGTAAATATTGGACTGTGGGAGCATCATGGGGTGAGAATGGGGTCAGTCAAGTCCCTGGAGGCAGTGAGAATCTGAAAGACAAGTAAATGTTAGCTTGGTGGAGACGCAGAAAATGGCATTTCACACAAAGGGATCGACATGGAAAGGTGTAGCGTCCGTCCGGGATAGGCCCTGCGTATCCGTACACCGTCCGGCAGCAGGCCCAGAGCACCGGGGGCTGTCAGCAGAGGCGTTGAAGGAGGATAGATTGAGGCCCTGCCCCCTCACGGATGGGAGGGGCTATGGCTGTGATAAACCAGCCGCGATCTGACGTTAAGCCAACTAGCTGCCATAATTGGGTCTCAGATTTCCCAAAGTAGGTGCAGAGTCCCTTCGGAGCAGGGCTGGGGTCTCCAATGTCCTTCCTAGGGTTTTTCCAGGCTGCGGTACTTCTTACGCAGTGCGGATACCGGGTCTTTGAAGAGCACCGGGTCCAGGCGGAGACGAGAGGACACTAGGGGCATGTGACCAAACCCTGCTGCCATTAAATTGATGCAGTCTGGGTCAGGGGGCTGCGGCTCCTGCCCTGGGCCCCCAGATGCCTAAGAGGGAAAGGGAAAAAGCGTCGGGAGGTTTTTCTGTTCTTCTGGACTCCCCTCCCACCAGCAAGAAGGCAAGGGTACCCCTCCTTCCTTCTCTGTCCTCCCCCAGCCCGTGTCCACAGATCCCCCTCTGCCTCCTCACCAGTGGAGGTCTGGCCCCCTGGCGCGGCTTCCCATAGGGCACCTTGATAGGGGGCAGCTTGATTACTGCTGCTACCAGGAAGTTCATCAGGACATCCACACACGTGGGTGCCTCATCTGCCAGCGTCCTTAAAGTTTGGGGCAGGGAGTGGGTGAACAGAGTGTGGTAATACCTGGGCAAGGGAGGAAGACAGGGAGAGACTTCAGCAGTTGCGTTCACCCCCAAATCTCATTCTCCCCTCTCCTGACCCCCACTCCTCCCACAATCTGCCTATCACTCCAATCTTCATGGCTCTAGTTAACGCCCACCCCACTAACCTGGCTGCCTCAGACAGCACCCATCCCAGTGTTTCTCCTACGTGGTTTGTTGACAGTCAATGGTGTACTCCATGTTCCCTCACTCAGTGGTTCCTTAGAGCCCCCACCTCTGGGCTGTGAGTTCTGGACTCAGGTGGAACCAGATTGAGGAAGGCCTCACCTGACTCAAAGCCATCAGGCCTGGCAGCTTCCGGAATGCTGTGGAGTAACTAGGCTGCCGTTACTCAGCTGAGCCTCAATCTACACAGCAATCGGGGCACACTGTGCAGACGTTGTTGTTAAGTACCGTCAAGTTGGTTCCGACCTATAGCAGCCCTGTATTGGGTTTCTGAGGAGCAGCTGGTGAGTTTGAGCAACCGACCTTTCTGTTCAAACTGACCATATATGGTGGAGTGCTGATCCTACGGTGGCAGCACCCCAGGTCTCCTCTGCAGACATTAGGGGTGATATTTCAGTCTACTGAGGATTCCCTGCCTAGCTCATGGGTAAATCTATGAGGTCCCAAGTTACACATATTTGCTGTAAACATGCACAATGAACCCCTTTAAGAGTACAAGAGACCCTCTAGAAATTCAGTCTCTGTTCAAGATTAGGAAGTTCTAGGCAGCTCTGATAGTGTAACGGTTACGAATCAGGCTGTGAACCTCAAGATCAGCAGTTCAAAACTACCAGTGGTTCCGCGGGGAGCTAGATGACGCGTTCTGCTCCCGTAAAGATTTACAGTCTCAGAAACCCTGTACAGGGTCGCTATGAGTCGGAACCGACACCACGGCACATAACCACCACCACCACCACTACCAGGCAACTTTTGGAGTCCTGGTGTGGCGCTGTGGGTTAATGCACTAGACTGCAAAGTAGTTTTGAAGTGCCAGGTCGGTAGTCAAGTTCTCTGGCTGCTCCTTGGAAACCTTATACAGGGTCACTATGAGTTGGAACCGACTAGACGGTACTTAACAACAACAACAGACAGCTTTTGGAAGGTTTGAGTAATCCTCAACTCACCACATGCACATTTACAAAGACCTACCTACCACCAGACTGTTGTTAAGTGCCATCAAGTTTGTTCTAACCCATAGTGGCTGTGTATAGGGTTTCAAGGAGCAGCTGGTGAGCTTGAACCGCTGACCTTGCAGTTCAAACTGACCTTGCAGTCCAGCACATTAACCCACAGCGCCACATCAGGACTCCACCCTGACAGCTCTACTTAAAGTAACAACTCTAGCTAGCATTTGTTGACCATCTATATGGCAAGGGCTTACATGGTTTCCCCACTGGATTATCATACCAACCATATGAAGTAAACATACCTCATCTACAGGTGATGAAACAGGTTCAAGAGAGGTGAGGAGGTTTGCCCAGAACCACACAACTGGGAAGTGGTGGATATGGGTCTTGAACCTGCATTTCTGGCCTCTAAACTGTCTGCTGTGTTCCTTCCCATGCTACCCTGCTCCTACTGCAGTACCTATGATAGAAGGCAGCCGTGGTGAGAACCATGGAGAATTCATTGACCTTCTCAGCAGTGTAGCCCCAACCACCTTGGCCCTCATCCCAGAAGTGGTTCCATGTCAGAAAGCCCACCATCCGCTCCGGAAAGCTCTGCCACACCACAAAGGCAAAGTCCACCTAGGAAGGGATTTAAATGAGATGTGAGAAAGGGCATCCCACCCAACCAGAAACAGCCAGAGATATGGAGGCAAGGCCAGCCTGGCAGAGGGGCTGGAGCAGGACTCAGGGGGCAGGAGATAGCAGCCACAACTCTGCAACTGGGTAGAAGTGTAGCATGAAATTTGGGAGGATGCTTAAGGGAACTTTTCTGCTATGAAAACTTCTATGAAATGTCGAGTGAAGAGGTCAGTTGACTGCTTCAGTAGTTTTGAAACCAGGAGGTTGGACATCTTGATCTCTGGTCCTCCTGGTTCTAGGAATCTGTGAGGCTGCCAGGGTCCTCTGTCTCTGTCTCTCTGACCCTTCTCCTACTGGGCTTCCTTTGGGCCCAGCCCTTACTTACCTCACTTGTGGAAAGGATACAGTGAGCATCAAGACTGAGGATGGCATCAGTGTTGATGGTGCTGTGTGGGAAGAAGCGATCGCTGGCCTGCGGTGGGAGAGCAGAGAGGACCACTCAGCCCTGAGACCCCTCTCCAACCTCCTACAACCAATATCTGAATATGGACTGACTAGGAACCCCTGAAGGAGTGCCGTGGAGGGAAGGGTATTGAACAAGAGCAAGCCTGAAACCTAGGCAGCTCCGTTCATTGCTACGGGCTTCAGTTTCTCCCTTGGTAAGATGGGTAGTTGGCTTTTAGGGGCTCTTCCAGTTTTGACCCTCAGGATGTCTCAATTGCCTCATTCGATCCTCACAGAAATCCTAGGAAAGGTTGCTAGACATCCCGCATTTGAAATATTAAACTGTTCCAGAGAGATGAGGTGACTCGCATAGGACCATACAGCCACCCTGATCCCCCTCCCTAACCCTGGCCAAATTTGCTGCCATCCATCCATATTTCCTCAAATTCCAGGATTCTCCCTTCTCCTCATCTGAGATATCAATACCCCCTCACACACACACACACACACACACACACACAGCCTTTTCTCCTCACACAAACCCCCAATTCTTTGAGAACATAATGCAAAGGGGAAAGGAATGGAAGATATTAAGCCTGCAGCTGAACTCTACTGCCTGCTTTCTTCAGATCCAACTGAAAGTCCAGCTTTGGCTCAGACCCATGTATGTCCTCCAGTGTCCAGCATGCAGAGGCTAAGCCCACCCCCTCCACCCTTTCCCTCACCTTCCTGGGCCCTTCAATGACTGTCAAGGGGACCTCTGTCTTGGGCCACTTCCCCTTGGGTGGGGGTGGCCTCTCACTGCTCCAGAGAATCAAGATCTAGGAAGAAAGAGGGGTGGTTCTGAAGCCAGGGGTCTGGGTAGAAGTGGGGGTTCTAGGTGTGAGCTCCCTCAGGTGGAAGAACTATGAGAGAACCGCTGATACATGCATACTGAGGAGGAACCCAAGGACCTTTTACTGCTGCTCTGTCCTTGCTTCTGGCTTTCTGGATGGTAGGAATTCAGATGACCACCTGTGTGTGGTGTTAGAATTTGGTGTGGTAGCTTCGAACCATCTTCTATCAGTGTTATTCTTTCTCTTCTTCTCACGTTATCAGTCCCATCGCAGTTGTCTGTGGAACTTGTCCATCTGCACCCTGGCTGCGCTGGCAGCTTCCTTCCTCTGCCAAAGCTCTCTCAATAGAGCTGCCTCTCTGTGAAAGTCAGACTTGACTCCCTGTGTGTCAGCAAATGCTAACTAAGTCTAACCCAGGGAGCAGAATCCTATCCTGCTTCTCTGCAAACTCAATATTAAACCCAGGGCACAGCACTCAGGAAATGACTACTGAGTGAGTGAATGGGTAGGTGAGTGGGTGAGTGAGTAAATGAATGTTTACTTCTACAACCTCCATAAGAGGCATATGATTTTCAGGTGGTCTCACCCATTCTCATTTGGTGACAGGAACAAGAGACTTAGAACAGAAAGGGTACTTGGAAATCCTTCCCCTGCCTTCTGTCAAAATGTATGGTCATTCTTGGGGTCTAGATGTTGTCAGGAGCCTTCCCTGACTCTCGCTCCCACCCTGAATCCCCAGGACCCGAGCTGGCAAGGGGGCAGACCTGGCCACAGTGCTGGGAGTCTGCCACTGCCTGGATGAGCTTCAGGGGGGGCTGGCCTGGGCCCCCCACCCAGATCAAGGCGCTGAACTTGCCCATAGGATGGGAGCCTGAGGAAATGAGACATAGGCTATCAGGGGAGAAGGGGACAGAGAACCCCTGAGAATGAAGACCTGGGGCCTGGAAGAGATGTTGGGGGATCAGAGAAGGTCTTAGTAGGGCTCTCTAGATGAGGCTGGGACAGGCATGTGGAGAACTAGCAAGGGGACTTAGTTGCCCCATCCCCACGGCATACCCTGTTGCAGGTGGTAGAAAGGGAAGTCCTGGGGGCTCGTAGAAAAAGTAGGCAGGGTCAGGAGTGCTCCTGGAGGGCTGTTCCACATCAGTGTGGGATGAGCAGAAGCTCCAAAAATCCGGTCCTGAATTATCTGAAATGAGAGAGGCAGTGAGTGACCCAGTGTGGCCTTGCCTCAGATCCTAACTCAGTTTTAGGAAGTATAGCTCCATACTGCCCCCTTCAGGCTCCGGGGAGAGTGGCAGCAGCATCGCCAGGTCCCTGAGGGCAGATGGGTTCAGATGCAGAGGCCTAATAGGGGGCACTCAGTAAAGATGTTCCAGAGGCAAATGGAGGTGGAAAGCTTCCTTTCTCTTCCTCACTTGGGGCCCGAAGTCACCAAAATGACATGCTGTTCATACCAGAAACAGGGTCCTAGGCAGCCATTGTTGATCCATCAGAGTTGGCATGAGTTGAAATCTATTTGTCACCACAGTTCCCTTTACAGATGGGGAAGCTGAGGCCCAGGATGGAGAAAGAAATAGTCCACAGTCTTTCAGAAAAGTCTCACATATGCCCCAGAGACATCTTCAAGGGGGGATCCCAAACACAAGCAGGGGAAGTAAGGTCTCTGGACAGAGGGTATGGAGATGGGATGGGGATAAGGAAGAGTCATGGGGTAGCAGGGAGCCCCCTCACCTCCAGAGTGGTGTGAATGACCTTCTCCACGGAGGAGAAGTAGGCATCCCATAGAAACTGGGTCTGCTGACGCAGAGCAAGCACCCGTGTGGGGGACATCTCATGTAGGGCAGCCAGGACCTGGGGCACAGAGGGAGAAGAGGAGTAGCCAAAGAGCTTCATCAGACCCTGATTGATCCTGAGAGGGGAACCCAGACCTGGGAACTAGAAGTCCTTTTTCCAGGGTGCACCCCCTTGGTTAAGCCTCAGGTAACATAGTGATAAAGAGTTAAATGATACTTAGTAACTGTGTGGACTCCTGGCGTGGCGCTGTAGGATCAGCGCTGGACTTCAAACCACAAGGTCAGCGGTTCAAACCCACCTGCTGCTTTTCAAAAACCCTATACAGGGTTGCTATGAATCAGGACTGACTTGACAGTCCTCTTAATAACAAGAAGTAACCGTGTGACTAGACAAGTTACTTAGCCTCTCTTAGGCTGTTTCCTCGTCTGTACAATGAGAATAGAAGTATCTCCCTCAGGGGACTGTGGGGGTTACACTAGATACCAGGGATTATCTAGATTAGAACAGTGCCCGCCAAACTGTAGAAGCTCAATAAATGGTAACAACTGTCACTAATCTCCCACACCAGTCTCAGTTCTTAGGGGATTCAAAAAAGGCTCAAATGTGTGTTTTTCAGAGCCAGGCAAATTTCTTTCATTGGATTCAAAAGTAACTGTGTATATTTATATTTTGCTTTCCCACCCCAGGCCCTGTGATTTTGGATTTTCTGCTTTCTTACATTGGGTATTTAAATAGTCATAGGCCTCTGAAGCTGGGCTCCTGGAGAGCATCCGGGCTAACTTATCCCATTGTATAGATTGGCAAACTAAAGCTGAAAGAATATTAGGACTTGCTCTGGTCAGAGAGGACAGGCACTCTGGACTCCTGACTTGCAGCCAGTGCTCACTCCCATGAACCTTCAGGAGTCTCTGTTTCCATCTGATTCAATGGGAGCCCTATCTGGGGGCAAATGCATCAATATACATAGATGGGAATAGAACAAGGATTGGGATCCCTGAGTCCCTCCCATGTCCTCGATTCACTCTCCACCCCATGGGCAGGGCTCTGAGCTACCTGTCGTGGAAGTCTCTCGTCGGCTACAATGGCTGCCTTGGTCCAGTCGATGACCTCAGAGAAGGGCAGCTCCCATCGGGGGCTGAGAAGCACAGGGATGCAGCCAGCCTGGGGGTGAAGGGTTAACTGGGGCCACCAGTCCCACCTTGCACATGCTCACCCTGTCCCATCTCCAAGCTGTGGTGGGCAAGAGGCAGAGGAGAGGAAAGTGGTGGCTTATTTGAGGGGGAGGAGTGATGTTCTGCGGAGGGTATGGTGAATGTGGCCACAGCACAGCTGAGCCCCAGAGTAAGGTAATGGGCACTCTCAGGCCTTGCCCATTGACCTGGCTCCAGGGTAGCCGACCAGTTCAGGGGTGGGGAGGACAGGGTGGAGGGTGCCCAAGTCGGGGGTTGTACCTGTAGGGCTTGGAGGAACCATAAGGCATCAGTGCAGCGGCCTGGGATGAGGCAGAAGGTGGCCTTGGGCAGCGTTACCATGTGGTGGGTCCTAAGGAGGGACAGGAGGGTATCCTGCACACATGAAGTCTGAGACAGCTCCCTCCACCCTCACTTGGGGGCTGGGTCCCTCAATGACCCCATAGCACCTTCCATCAACGCTCCCAAATTCACAATGTGCACCTGTTCTCACGTGGTCACACGCACAACCTCACACCAACACAAATGCTGGCCTCACATCCACCTACTACACTCATGGGTGGAGTAGGAGGCAGGAGCCCTGGGTCGTAGATCTGGCTCTGCCCTGGGTGGCCTCAGATGCCTCCCTTCCCCTTCTTGCGCCCCCATCTCCTCAATTGCAAAATGGAGAGAGGGGAGCTCTCTTATTTCCAAGGCCTGTTTGCAGAGACATAACTACAGAAAACAGTGCTTAGGGCAAACACTGAAGTCCTGGTGTGGCGCTATGGCATAGGTCTGCTAATCACAATGTCAGCGGTGCAAACAAACCAGCTGCTTCTCAGAAACCCTATACAGGGTCACTATGAGTCGGAACTGACTTGACGGCACTTAACAACAACAACAACATGCAAGTACTGAAATTGGACCCCTGCCCAAACATCTGAAACCCATCTTTTAGATCACTTTACTATAATATCAGCAGACAAATGCAAGTCAAGGTGTTCATTAAACTTTTACTTAACACATGATGGCACTACGTGAACATTACAACAGCACTGTTCTTGCTTTCACTGATGAAAACTGATCTAGGATGTGCTCAAAACCATTGTTTTCAGTTTCTTTTCTTCACTCAGCACAGTAAGATCACACTGCCTGCCTTAGGCCATACCCACTGCGATTGAGTTAATTCCAACTCATAGAGAAACTAGAGGGCAGAGGAGAGCTGCCCCACAGGGTTCCCAACACTGTAAATCTTCATGAAGCAGACTGTCCACCTTTCTTCCATGGCGGGTTCCAACGGCTGACCTTTGGGTCAGCAGCTGAACTCTTTAACCAACGTATCACCGGGGTTCCTCCTTAACCCACAAAGACCTCAAATATGGAAGGATTTGTTTTTGCATGGGGAATCATCTCTCACTGGAGATGGAAACTTCAATGATGACTAGAAACTGCTCATCGGCACCCCCTTCAGGTGTCATACCTTAGAGATAACCTTTGCATGTCTGTCTTGTCCAGGTTGCTCTCCCACCACTCTGCCTTAGGCAGCCTTTCACCTGAGTGGCCTCCACCCTCAGTCCTTCCTGACCTGACAATCCAGGCCCATGAAAGGCTTCTCTGTCATGAGGTAGGCTGGGCCCCTAGCCTGGAACCACGCAGGAAGCTGCTGCCCAGAGGCTCCCTTGCCCAGGACAGGCCTCCTCTGTTCCTCCCACCCCCCCACCCCCACCCCTCCTCATAGCCTCAGGACCACAGTCAGGCTGGGTGTGCCGTGTGGGGAGGAGCAGCCTCCTCAGAGCCCCCTCCTTAGAATTGCTCCACTCAGGGCACCAATGTCCATGACCCAGCGGGGATGGAGAGACCCAGGGCCCTGGTCTCACAGTTCCTAAAAGCAGAGCTGATGGGTAGGTCCCAGAAGGTCCTAGGACCTACAGCCCACCTGGCTCTGAGCCTGAATCTTCAAGAAGTAGACATGGCAGGGCTTAGCAAGCTTCTGAGTCAATTCCCACTGGGCAGATGGAGAAACTGAATCCCATAGAAGGCCAAGGACTGGCTTAGGGTCACAGAAAGGGTTGGGATAGAGCTAGGACCAGATCCCAAGTGTGCCAATTCCCAATCCTGAGTTATTTGAACCACTCCAGAGCTTCTGCTTAGGAATCTCCCAGAGGATCCCCACCCTCTTTCTCCTCCTCCTAAAGTGCAGGGATCCACCAGGCTTTCCTGGAAGAAGCCACAAGTTAACACCAGGATACCTCCTACTTTGCAAAGAGCTCCAGTGCCACCCAGCCAGCTACACACACACACACACACACACACACACACACACACACACAAGTTCTGTTTCTGTTGTTGTCTGCTGACAAATCAATTCGGACTCACAGTGATCCTACAGAACAGAGTAGAACTGCCTCATAGAGTTTCCAAAGCTGTCATCTTTATGAAAGCAGATCCCCACATCTTTCTTCTGCGGAGCAGTTGATAGGTTCAAACTGTCAACCTTTCACTTAACAGCCAAGATCTGAACTACTGCACCACCAAGAGTTTTACAACAGAGTGAAAACCCCTAAGGTTAAGGCTTCAGGGAGTTCAAAGACACAAAGACCCTGCTGAATAAACCAGACCCTTTAGCCCTCATTAGCCTCGAGAAGTTTCTCCTACTGAATCATAATGTCTAAGCTCAAACATCACCTCCTCTGGGAAGGCCTCCTTGATTGAGTCTTCTATGTGTTCCCATAGCCCCTGTGCTCACTGTTAATAGTAATGACCCAAGGTACCTTTATAGCTTTTCCTGGACCTTGTTCTAAGTGCTTTATATCCATTGCCTCCTTTTATTCTCACAACTATGGTAAGAGATGGGTAGTATGTAGTGTTATCCCATTCTACAGATGAGGAAATTGAGGGTTATTATATGAAGAAGCAAGTCCTGATGTGGTGCTGTGGGCTAATGCATCAGACTGCAAAGTTGTTTGAACTGCAAGGTTGGTAGTTCAAGCTCACCAACTGCTCCTTGGAAACCCTATACAGGGTCGCTATGGGTTGGAATTGACTCGACGGCACTTAACAACAGCAACACATAAAGAAGCTAGGAAGACACCTCCACTTAACAATTATGTCATTACCATTAGCAGCTCTGACTCCTTTGTTTCTCTTACACTACAGAGAACTTGAGAGTAGGGGCTGTATTTCCCTTGTGTCAGTATCCCCAGGGCCCAGCAGAGTGCTTGGCGAGAATGGGTGCTCAGTGAATGAATGTTTCATGTGACTTGAGAGGATAGGCCCAGGCTTAGCATATAGAAATATTTAAGAGGTTCTTTTCAGCAAAACTTCTAGCCGAGGGGCTGTCTGGGAAGAAATCTGGTAGGTGGCCTTGGGAGGTGGTGAGTCCCCATCAGTGGGAGTAAGTAAGCAGAGGCTGGATGAGCACCTATGAGGCTGGTGGGGTGAAGCAGACTCGTACACATCGGTGGTGACACTGATGGTTGAGGGAGTGAAGACACAGTCATAGCTGAGCCCTCCAATCCTCTGTCACTTCTGTGGGCTCCAGCCACCTTGGCCTTTATGAGTCCCTCCCGCCATTAAAAATTATATTTTGTAACTATTGGTATAAAGACAACTGTATTCATTTTCCATATTAAAAGATTTTATTCTAGCTAAAAGTTCTTTTTTTGACTTGGAAAGAAACTAAAATATTTTCATGTTCCCTAGAAGTCTTAGGCTCCCTAGGCTCACAATATGGGCAAAGAGACTTGAAAATGTGCATTGAATTTATGTTTCAAAAAAAGTGGGGGAGAACATACATATATGCATATTACTTGTACAGACAGAGAGTGTCTTAAAAAGGAAGCATAAGAAATTGTGTGTTTACCTCCAGAAGGAGTACTGGGTGGTCGGGAAACAGGGTGGGATGGAGACTTTTTAACTGTATACCCCTTTATACCTTAGGAGTTTTGTACCATGTGAATGAATTACCTGTTCATAAAGATGAATAAGTAATGATTTAAATGGTAAGAACGTGTTCCAAAGCAACAGGAGACTATTCAACCAAGGTGGAAAAACATTGTGGCTTTGGAGCCAGAAGTGTAGTGTTCGGTCCCAGCTCCACTGTTGCCAAGTGTATGATCAGAAGTGAATGGGGTCATGGGGGAGGGAGAACCTGGTCACCAAAGGCTCTCTCTGAACCTCAGTTTCCTGTTCCTTGAAATGGGGATAATGCTTTTCTTGAAGGCTGCTTGAGAGGATTAGCAATGACTTCTATAAAATGCCTGGTAAATCCTGAGGGCCAGGTCAGGCCCTCCCCAAATGTTAGCTTCTTCCTCTCCCCTCTTCCTTCCCCACCAGTGCCAGCTGGGTGAATTGTGCCTGTGAAGGGGACTGTGAATTGCCTTTTTCTCAGGTCAGTTCTTGTTTATTCAGGCCACCTTCCGGGGACTGGCCATGTGGCTGTCCTTTTCACTCTGTCCCTGTGCTATGTGTGTCTCTGGCCCCATTAATTGCTTGGCATTTCAGAGAAACTGAGACTGAAGCTACCCCAGACATTAAGTCCTGTCATCTGAAGGTAGGATGAGGCCAAAGACAGAAAGTCTTTGAAGTTCAGAGGTCAACTAGAAATTGCCCAGTTTCACCCGATGGACATAAACCTTTCAAAACTTTTACTCAGAGGGTGGTCCAGGTCCAAGCTGCTTAGAAAACCTGGTTGGTTCTGTCCAATTTTAGATCAATCCAATAAACAACTAGCGGCACTCAGAGGTGTACCTGGCTTATGGCAGGTATGGGACTTGCCCATTGCCAGCTGTGGGATCATTCAGCAATTTAAAACGAATTGCACAGACACTGTTTTCCATAGACACACCTCTGTTTGCACCTACTCTGTGTGTGTGTGTGTGTGTGTGTGTGTGTGTGTGTGTGTGTGTGTGTGTGTAGTCCCTTGGGGATACAGAGTTAGATCTGGGGTCTGGACCTGAAGTCTGGACCCAGTTCTTAATTGGGCCACCCATATGTGTGTAATCCATACTGAAGGCTGTGCTCTTTGATCTTCATCAGTAAATGTTTTAAGTCCTCTTCACTTTCAGCAAGCAAGGTTGTATCATCTGCATATCGCAGGTTGTTAATGTGTTTCCTCCAATCCTGATGCCACGTTTTTCTTCATAGAATTCAGCTTCTCGGGTTATTAGCTCAGCATACAGGTTGAATAAGTATGGTGAAAGAATACAACCTTGTCGCACACCTTTCTTAATTTTAAACCATTCAGTGTTCCCATGTTATGTTCGAACATGGCCTCTTGGTCCATGTACAGATTCTTCATGAGCACAATTAAGTGTTCCAGAATACTCATACTTCACAATGTTGTCCATAACTTATCATAATCCACACAATCGAAAACCTTTGCATAGTCAATAAAGCACAGGTAAACATCTTTCTGATATTCTCTGCTTTCAGTCAAGATCCATCGGACATCAGCAATGATATCCCTCATTTCACATCCTCTTCTGAATCCGGCTTGAACCTCTGGAAGTTCTCTGCTAATGTATGCTTGCAATTGTTTCTATATTACCTTTAGTAAAACTTTGCTCACATGGGATATCAAAGAGATTGTCCAATGATTTCCGCATTCCGTTGGGTCACTTCTCTGGAATGGGCACAAATACGGATCTCTTCCAACCAGTCGGCCAGATAGCTGTCTTCCAAATTTCTTGACAGAGATGAGTGAGTGCCTCTTGTGCCACCTCACTTTCTTGAAAGATTTCAATTTTTATTGAAAGCATAAGAAACTGGTGCCTTGTTCTTTGCCAATTCCTTCAATGCACCTTGGACTTCCTCCTTCAGTACCATTGGCTCTTGATCATATACTACCTCTTGAAATGGTTGAACATTAACCATTTCCTTTTGGTACATCTTCTCTTGATGCTTCTACATTATTCAGTAATTTGCTGATAAAGATCAAAGAGCACAGCCTTCGGTATGGATTACCATCTCAATGTCAAGAAAACAAAAATCCTCACCATTGGACCAATAAACATTTTTATCAATGGAGTAAAGACTGAAGTTGTCAAGGACTTCATTCTTCTTGGATCAACTATCAACACTCACGGAAGCAGCAGTCAAGAAATCAAACAACGTATTGCATTAGGCAAATCTGCTGCACAAGACCTTTTTAAAATGTTGAAGAGCAAAGAAGTCAGCTTGAGGACTAAGGTGTGCCTGACCCAAGCCATGGTATTTTCAATAACCTCATATGGATGCGAAAGCTGGACAGTGAATAAGGAAGATCGTAGAAGAATTGACTCATTTGAGTTATGGTGTTGGAGGAGAATATTGAAAGTGCCATGGGTTGCCAAAAGAACCAACAGATCTGTGTTGGAAGAAGTGCAGCCAGAGTGCTCCTTGGAGGCCAGGATGGCCAAACTTTGTGTCTCATACTTTGGACATATTATCATTAGGGACCAGTCATTGGAGAAGGATATCACGTTTGGTAACATGGAGGGTCAGAGAAAAAGAGGAAGACCCCCAACGAGATGAATTGGCCAAGTGGCAGCATAGGTGGCCTCAAGTGTGGCAACAGTAGTGAGGTTGGCCCAGGATCGGGCAGTGTTTCATTCTGCTGTGCATAAATAAGGTTGCTATGAATCAGTACCGACTTGATGGCACCTAACAACAACTGTGTGTATGTATGTGTGTGTATGAGGCAATATCGTAACTTTCAGAGAAGTCCAGAATAAAATAGCTTTTTTACTTTGAACCCAACCAGCGATCTTGCTCCTAAAAAGATGACAGTCTAGAAAACTCTGTGGGGTAACTGGGCTCTGTCAATGGGGTCCCTATGAGTCAAAATGGACTCGGCAGTACCTAACAAAGAAGTCAGCCAGAAGAAACCCTTCCTTTAAGCAACAATAGTTAAATGTACCAGTGCTCAGCTGCTAACAGGAAGGTTGGCAGTTCACACTCACCCTGTGACCCATAGGAGAAAGAACTGGAGATCCGTTCCCATGAAGATTGTTGTTGTTGCTAAGTGCCACTGAGTCAGTTCTAACTCATAGTGACCCTGTATAGGGTTTCTGTGGAGTGGCTGGTGGGTTTTCTACGGTTTCATTGGGTTTTCTAGGAGCAGATTGCCAGCGGCTGCTGGGTGATTTTGAAATAAAAACCCCTGGAGATTACAGATTACATGGGGTCAGTGTGAGTCCAAATCAACTTGATGACCCAAGACAACAACAACATAATCAGAAAAGCTCAGAGGCAGGAGCCTGGTGACCAGAGAGCATTGCCCCCAAACATGAGTGTCTGTCTGAACTCAGAGCTGGCAGTGCCTGGGGAGATCTCCCAGCAGCCCCAAGCAGAGGTTAAAAAAAAAAAATGGAGCTGGGCCATGTGCAGAATTCCTGGGAGGAACGTGAAGCTCAGAATAGGCTCTGTTGTTCTAGCAGAGAACAAGGAGATAGGGAGATACCTGAGGGAGAAAGCCTGGGTAGAATACTAGAGTGACAGGTTCCAATTTGGACCTGCCTTGGGGGATATAGAGGGAAACCTCTGCCCCAGGGGCCCTGGACAACCTCAGAAGGACTTGAATTCTTGTCTGCCCAGTCAGCCTTTGGAAACTGCTGGCCTCCTGGCCATGCAGCGCAGAGGTGCTCAGGGGTTAACTGCTCTGTTCCCAGAGGTGTACTGCCAACAAGCCATGGTGAAGAGAAGTTTCTGAACAAGTTTTCCAGGTCCTGCAGGCGCTCACGCTCCTTATATAATGTTCTAAACACCCTCATTGGCAGGTGAGGTCTGACCTCAGTCATACTTGCTATGTTGTTGTTAAGTGTTGTTGTTAAGTTGTTGTTAAGAGTCGGTTCCCACTCATAGCGACCCTGTATAGGGTTTCCAAGGAGTCGCCAGTGAGTTTGAACTGCCAACCCTGTGGTTCCCACAGTGCTACACCAGGACTTGCTGTAACCAAAGACTACTTCATTCAGAGGTTAATGTTCCAAATTCGACACAGTGGTAGCTTCCATCTGTGATGACCAATTAATAATCTTCATGGCCTTTCTGAGTCTTTGATTGGGTTGATCATAGACTCTCTCTCAAAACTCAGAATTCTAATTCTGAGGGCTTTGGTTTCAGACAGTTCTGGATTCAAGTATTGACTGTGCTCTTTCTAGCTGTGTGGCCTCAGATAAGTTACTTAACCTTTTTGAGCTTCTGCATCTGGTAATATTTTATTGTCATTCTTTATAAGCTAATATTTATAAAAGTATAGACACTATCCAAATGTAGGTTAAATAATATACCAGGAAAGGAGGGGTTGGAATGAGGGAAAGGAAGAAAGTAAGAATAAGTCATGTTTTACATTTGTAAAGATCCTCAACGGAGAACTCTAAAACCTGCCCTTGACTCTCCTGGCATCCTATCACTCTCTTGGTGGAAGTGTTCTCTGTTGTCTAACCTGAGTCCCTCTTGCTGCAGCCGAGGCCCAAATTTGCTGGGACCACTTGGTTCTCCCATCTCAGCCCTGCCTTCTACCCTGGCCTCTGTACACCTTCTTGTCACACTCTTCCCGTTCCAGCCCCCATGGGGGAAAGTTCCACTTACTGTTCAGGTCCAGGGTCCTGCTCACAGTTCCCATCCCAGAAGCAGGCAGAGGAGTTGCTGTCTGCTGTGCGCCACCCACCTCTCTCCTCTGCCAGGGCTAGCAGGGTCTCCTCAGGATGGGGACTGTGCTGTTGCAGCTGGCCAGGAGCCCCACCTTGAAACGGGTGGGCTTCAGGGAGAAGTGGGAGGGCCACATCGAAGCGAGGTCGAAAGGTGTCCACCAGAGGACTGGCCTCAGCCACCATAGCCTGTCCCAGTTGGAAGGTCTTGGAGCAGGCAGCTGGGTGGAGACTGAGGACCAGATGGTTTTGACCCCCATTCCACTGCAGAGGCATTGGACTGGGCTCTCCAGCCAGAGTGTCCAGGCTGAGGAAGAGGAAGAGACAGGCCTCACCAGGGCTGAATGTGTGGTAGCGGGAACCCTCGATGGAAGCCAGGATCTGATGATGAGTTTCAGAAATTGGTCCAGCTGCGGGGTACACGAATACCTTGAGGCCACTACCCCTGCACCAGGAAGTGTTGAAACAGGCTCCCCAGTTGCAGCCAATGCCACAGGGAGTTTGAGAAGATCGAGGAGCATCTTCTGGGGGTTCCCCAGGCTGAGAGAAGCTCTGCAGGAGCTCTGTATCCAGCCAGCGAGGCCAGCTTTGAGGAACCCCTGATGGAAGCCTGGGGGGCACTGCCAGGCGGAGAAGTGGGGGACCCCCCAGGAAGATAAGGAAGAGCCAGGAGGCAGAGAGTGCCAGCCAAAGGGGCCTCCTTCTCCACAACTGCATGTGGCCACCCACAGCCCGGGTTGGGAGATGCTGGGAGACCTCAGCCAGGAAGCAGGAAGAGCAAGAGCCTGAGGGTGAGTAGCTGGCTGGAATCAGCCTAGCCCAGCACCCTTGGGAAGACTAAGGCCAGGCATAAGGAGGCCAGGTGGGACTCAGCTTCCTGACCTTGCCTTCCTGTGGTCAACACTCTGAGTCCTCAGTCTTTGGATAACCAAGCCAGCCTTTGCCCCTGGGAACTGCTCAAATTGATGCAACCCCTGTCCAGACTACAAGGCTGGGGGCTTCTGCCCCTCTGACTGCACTCTCTGACTTTGCCCTTGTCCGAGATGAGGGCCGTCTGCCAGGCCATGAAGGACCGGTGAGGACTCTCCAAGGGGCAGGTTGGCCAGGGTGCAGGATGGTGGAAACAGGGCTGGTCTTCCTAGTCCACCCCCTGCCGGAGCAGCCCTGGCCACCCCTGTGCCAGCTAGCAGGCTCTTCTGGGCTGTTGGCCCTGTGGTTAGAGCCAAAATTAGACCTAGTACCCCATGTAGGTCATCAGAGCCAGTTGGGAGTCAGGGCTTTGGTGCAGCTGGTGGCCCCTGCCTGGGGGATCGGAGGGCTTTTGGTCCTGGTTCTCTTCCTCCCTGTTCGGGCAGTATAGCCTCATCTCCTCACACCCCCAGTAACTGGCTCCGTACCCTCGGGAATAGAACTATTACAGTATAGAGGGCAGTTCTCCCTTCCCCAGTCCCTGCCCTGAAGCCCCCAGTCCCTGCCAGGGTCTTCCCCTGCTGCCGCTCAAGCAGCTTCGGGCTCCTCTGAATCTCTTTCCCAGCGGCAGCAAGACTCCTCCCCTATCAGCCCTGATTCGCTCTTGGCTAGAAGGCCAAGTTTCCACTTAACTCCTTCCAAACCAGTTCCCTGATTGTAGTTAAGTGTCGTCGAGTCGATTCCGACCCACAGCAACCCGATATGGGGTTTCCAAGGAGCAGCTGGTGAGCTTGAACATGACTTTGCAATTGAAATGGCTTTGCAGTCTGGCGCAATTAACCCACAGCCCCACACCAGGACTCCCAAGTTCCCGGATTGTTCATAGTAATAACCAGTAGATGCCACACCTAAGGGTTTGCCAGGAGGTACCACAGCCTTGAAGGAGTCATGGTAGTGTAGTGAATTATAAGCTGGGCTGCTGACTGCAAGGTCAGTAGTTCAAATCTATCAGTTGCTCTGCGGGAGAAAGATGAGGCTTTCTGCTCTGGTAAAGATTTACAACTTTGAAAACCTTGTACAGGATCACTGTGAGTTGGAACCACTTAGGTGGCACACAACCACCACTGCCACTGCTACAGTCTCCGCTTCTCTGAATTTTCACAGCAACCCTTCAAAGCAGAGGTTTATCTTGGTCCTTTTTTTACAGATGAGGACAATGACACTCCAGAGGGAATGGCATCTTGCTAAGGTGGCCCAACTAAGAAGTGGTAGGCTAGGGATTTGAACCCTGAATTCCTGACCCAAATCCTAAGCGCTTCCCAGTGGCCACGCCTGCCGAGTGTGTGAGTGTGGAGAGGAGAAAGTCAATTGATGAGAGGAGTGAGGAGGAGTGAAGGGACTGGGAGGATTGTGGGCCTCTCTGCCATCTGCCCTTCCTCTTTTGGGGGCCCACTCCTGATACCTTTCACTCAGGCACACAAGGCTGTCCTTACGTGGAGCTCTGCAGGAAAGGGCTTAGTGCATTAGGAAGAGGTTGACTGTAGGGGCAGGGACAGAATACACATGAGTCATGATGGTGATTTGGACAGGGTGGCAATGGTGGAAGGGGAATGAGTGATCAGGTTCTGGGTATATTTGGTGCCAGGGAAAAGAACAGCTGTCTGACTAGTTGGATATGTGGTTTCACTTGAACAGAGTAGGGTGGAGTCATCATCAACCGAGATGGGCAGGACTGAGGGAGGAACAGTCTAGGGGAAGAAGATCAGGAGTTTAGTTCTGAGACTAGGAATCATGTTTCATTCATCTTTCTCATTCCCAGCCCTAGTGTGATAAATGTTTAACCAAGACTTTTTGAATGAGTATATGGATGGATAGATAAAGTTGGGAGATCCAAGAGGACAAAGGTGTCTGCTAAGAGGCTTCCGGGGACACCTGATCCTACTCCAGCTCACCCAGTCCCAGCCCAGGGCCAGAGGTGCATCTAAGGTTTGACAGGTAGGCATGTGCCCTGTGTGCCACTTGAAGGGGAGCACCACTGGATATTTATTAATCACAGCAGTTTCCAGAGATGAGAGATCATTGAGCAAGTTAAAACTAATGATTTCGTATTTGAGAAGCTCCATGAATCAAGGAGGAGCAAAGACTGAACAAAGATTAAAGTATTCAGTGATTCAAACCCACCAGTCTCTCCTCAGGAGAACCATGTGACAGTGTGCTTCCAGAATTCCCAGGGGGCAGGTCTACTCGGTCCGGTAGAGTTGCCATGAGTCCGAATCAACTTGATGGCTGAGGGTATGAGTCAAAGCAGACTGTGTGACCTTGCTCTGCTGAGTGTAGAAAGAGAAGAAACTAAAAAACAAAACAACTATGAGCACATCATAGACGAATCTTCGTCAGTGAAATCAAGGAAGGAGCAGTTGTCATTTTCATGTAGTGCCGTCATGTGTTCAGTGATGAGCTGATACTATGGCAATGTGATCTAAAAGATGGGTGTCAGATGTTTGGACAGGGGTGTAATTCCAGTGCTTTTTTTCTGTAGAGAGGACTCTGGGTAGAGCACAAGTTCTCTTCTATCTCCATCCCTGCAGAAGAGCCTCTCAGGCCAGTTGAAGACTGCACTTGTCTAGACTGGATTCACATAGTTGCCCTTGAGGCTTGGATGGAGGAAGAGAAAGCAGGCCATCCTAGCAGGCAAGACTGAACAGGGCTCATCCCAAAAATAGATCTCTGTGCTCTGCCAATCCGAGTCGTATCTAAGGGATAACAGGGATGGCACATGCCCTGGGCACTGCTTGATGAGGAGCACTAATGAGCTGTATCTGTAGCAGTTTCCATTGCCAGCTGGGAGAGATCATTCAGCAACTTCAAACCAATTGCCATAGGCTTTTTTTTTTTTTTTTCAGTAGCCACTCCTCTGCCACCAAAGGCTCCAAGGACTCCATCATACTCTTCAGGACTCCTCAGTGCCACTAGGAAACCCTGTCCTGTACCTGAGCTACAATCAGTGTGGCAGAAGCCGACACTTTGGGGCAGGACAGGAGGGAGTAGACAGCAGAGAGAAAGAAGCAGCAGCCTGGGCTCTGGTTCAGCATTGGAAGTTTCCCAAGGAAGGCTTGTTTCCTGCAGGGCAGGGTTGAAGCAGGCCTTGGACTGAATTTGAGGACAAGGGACTCTGGAGGGCATCCCAGAGCCTCTGAGCAATGCAATGGTGATGTCATGACTGCCTGGGGGTTACCTGAGGGTTGCCTGAGTATGAGGTTGCTCCCTGCTTGAGGTGCTAGATGTCACACTGGCCAAGTTGCCCAGGCAGAAACTAGGGGCAACCACAAAGTGTCTGCCTCGCTCCACCTTGTGTTTGCCTATCTCCGTTCCTCCCCTCTCCTTCTTTGGGCTGGGCCCCAAAATTTCCAGAAGAAATGGATCGAGTCTTCGGGGAGAAAGGGGACTGGAGCTTTGCATAGTGCGGTAATGAAGAGCACAGCCCAGGTTCTCTCAAGAAAATGTGTTCCTGGGCAAGTTAGTTATTTCTCCTTATCTGTAAAACAGGCAGAGTGATAGCTATATCCTCAAAGGCTTGCTGGGAGAAGGATTAAATAAAATAGTGAAAGTATAGCATTCAGCACACCATGCCTGGCACAAAGTAGGCACTTAAGTGGTATCCTTCTCTCCCTCCACCGCCCCAAGGGGAAATAAAGTGACTTGCTCAGGGCATCAAGCTGCCTATCTGAGGCCCATGGGGTCAGGACTTGGGTTTCTCCCTCCTGCACCCATGTTATTTCTGCTGCGCTTCTGTTGCTGCCCTGAATAAAGGAGACACTGGGAGCTCCAGGAGATGATCACCATGGAAACCCATCTGCTCCATCTTGTTGCTTTAGCACTAGGCTGTCTGGGTGTGTCATGGCACAGTGAAGGGGTATGAGGGTCTGGAGGCTGCAGGGGCTTGGGGGCTAAGCTCTCACTTTCTTGAGCACCAAACCAAAAAGGACTCCATTACCATCAAGTTCATTCCAACCCACAGCAACCCTGTAGGACAGAGCAGAACTGCTCCATAGGGTTTCCAAGACTGTAAATCTTTACAGAAGCAGACTGCCACATTGTTCTCTCAAAGAGTAGCTGATAGTTTTGAACCAATGACCTTTTGGTAAGCAGCCCGACCCTTTAACCACTGGGCTATCAGGGCTTCCTTCTTGAGCACACAAATAACCCCAAATCTGGAAGAATCCCCCACAAGGCTCTGCAGCATCGCGTTAGCTCCAACTCTAGTTAAGTCCACCCAACCAGACTCCAACCAGGATGCAGAGCCCATATCCTGCCACACCAAACCCCACCTGGGGCAAGGCCATGGGCACAGGCCAAGAACTCCAAAATGGGAGTCAGGTCAGACCTCTGCTTCTCTTCTAGGTATGACCATATGGCCTTAGATCAGTCCTGTTTGGGGTAGCTCTTCTTTTTTTTAAACCATCTGCTTAAAGTGGTGGTGGAACTAAGTCATCTCTTGGCCTTCTCAGACTAAACACAATCTGGTGTTCTTAATCAGATTCATGCCACAGGCTTGAGGTCAACCCTTCCTTTTCCTATCCAATCAACATTTAACTCTGTGAAGGTAAGTATCCAAGACGTGCAGTGAAACAATGAAGAGTCTGTGTGACCTCCATTGTTCCGTAGGGGCATTTTCTAACAAGCCAGCCAGGGGCACTTGACTTGACTTTCCACTCTCTGTGGATTAGGGCCCAGGCATTGTGTAAATCTGAGATTTCTAAAAGACACTTAAATTATAACTGAGTTTTGTCCTGCCGTAATACACGCAA